GGAGAGAGATATTTTAAAGTTTGTGTTAAGTGGCCCAAGAACACAGGAAACCATCCTGGACCAGGACATCACTGAGCTTCTGGACAGTCGGAGGTGCAACCTGGCAGTGTCAGATGTAGTGAAATATGACGTCCCTTAGGTGTTCTAGCAGATTTAGGTCAGGCAAGCATGGGGGGCAGTCATTGTCATAAATTCATTCATCCTCCAGGACTGCCTGCATGCTCTCATCCAGGGCTGCAACTATTCATCGAGTAAATAGTGTATATATATAAATATAAAATTTAGCATTTAAGTTTTTTTTATTGGTTTTTTTTTTCTTAACAGATGTCTTATGCTGGTAAACTTTAAAACATTGCAACTTCTAAAATGGAACCCAATTAGCAGTTCATTCTGAATTTTTTTCCCTTTTGAATATTTGCTATTACCCATCAAAGGTTGATTCTGTTCATCTGTACGTAGTGTTTTCATTGGGGGAAACCTTTCGTCACTCATCCAAGTGACTTATTCAGGAGACTTCTGGAGACTACGTACAGATGAACAGAATCAACTTTTGGAGATTTACTTACCTGGATGTGGCGTCCGGGTACACACCGGCTCACTCCTTGGCGGCCGCTTGTCGGGGCCTGGGGCCTGGGGCTCGCTCGGGCCCCCTTTGGAGGTGGGGTGCCCCCGGCCTCTCGGCCTGGGGCTCGGTCACTCAGGCACAGCTGGGGGCCGGCGGAGCTCACGGGCGCGTCACTGCAACTCCCCCTGGCTTCTGCTCCGCGGCTGCTGGGCGAGCCCTCATCTGGGACTCTCCTCAGCTCTTACTGGAACAGTGGCGCGGCTGCCCCTCTGTTGGTCTTCCGTGGTCTCTTGTGTTCTGGGGACCTCTGGATGTCTGGAGTTTTGATCTCCTCCATACCCGCTTCACACCCTGGAGGACGGGGCTGTGGCCCCCCCACACTCCCTAGCAGATCATTACATGGAGAAACCTTTGGAATGCAAGCATGCTGATCCACACAGGTATGCACACAGGTGTAGACATGGGTATTCACAGACGCGGACTAAAGCTTTCTTGGCTGCTGCCTCAAAGCACACTGTGCGCTGTCTATCTTGCGTGCTGCACAATATCGTTTATTATTCAGTAACTATTGATATCTATGACTAGCTAGTTTATTGTGATGGTGCTTTGTTTTCTCTATTATTATGTTGCTCTTTGTTGTTTGCTGTCTCCTCTGTTTGTTTTTTTTGTTGTTTGTTTGTTTTTTTTGTTTTTTTCTCCATACAGGTGACCCAGGAGTTGTTGTTTTTTTTTGTTTTTTTTTCTCCCCCCTTCTCACCGTCTCTTCTCCCCTTTGGTTTTCTTTCTTTCTCTCCCCCTCTTTCTCTCATTCATTCCCCCTGTCCTATTTCTTAAAAAAAAAAAAAAAAATGACAAAGGATGAACTGAAAGCTCTGCCATCACGTAATGTCGCATACTGCTGTTTCTGATGTCATTTAAAAAAAAAAAAAAAAAAAAAAAAAAAAAAAAAAAAGAATGTCAATTCTCATCAATAAAACAAAAGTATTTCTTATCTGATTATTCGATTCATTGATGGAATAATTGATAGATTATTTGGTTACTAAAATAATTGATAGCTGCAGCCCTAGTCTCATCACATAAGGGTATGCATTGTCATGTCCCTGGAGGAACCTAGGATCCACGTCACTAGCGTAGTCTGACAGTTAGACCTAATAAGATGACCTAAACCAGCTTATTTTAGCGTAACTAAGGGATGAGTCAGGGTCACTAACTATAGTGGCAGCTTTCTGTGATTTCTGTAAATAATACTTCAGGAATAGGTGTCCAGGGTTCATTCAGATCTCTTTGATGTTTCTGTCTTTTTCCTTCATTCTCTGTCAAAATGATGCCACGCTGCTTTAACAATGTTGAGGTCTGGGTTCTGGGCAGGGCATTTCATGACTGATGGTAGTAAGTGGTCAGGGGCGCGCGTTGGAGCGGACAAAAAAACACCCACAAACAAAGATAGGTCAACCGTGGGGCATAGCCGATGATCTGCGATGCTTAACTGTCGCAGCGATAACATAGGTCTGAGGTAGTCCTTATGGTCTAGCTGAGTTAATATACTTAGGCTATTTTGCGGGTCGGGGGGTTTAGGCTGGGCGGAGGGGGGATGGGGCCCCCCACGCTGCTTTAATAATGTTGAGGTCTGGGTTCTGGGGAGGCCAATCCATGACTATGGTGTTCTTCTATGTCCCTTTTCTTCTATGAATGTTTTTATTGCACTGGCAATGTTGTTGATAAGGTGCTGGTTAACAGGTTTGCACAGTAGTGTTAAGGTTTTAGGCAAAAAAAGTACTCTGACGCTAAGAGGTCAGAAACAAACACCGCATGTCTTTTAATAGTCAGCCTGAGTGAATGGGATATGTGACAAGTGAAGCAGAGGGGAAAATGCAGTGAGTCCATTAGTGTAGCTGATGAGGCTAAAAACAGAAGGGGACCGAGTGCAGTTATCCTCTGTGATGTCATGCAGCCAATGGCACCCCTCCCTTTATAGTCATCAGACACTGCCATCCTTACTCACCTAATGTTGTGGGATGGATCCTTTCACTCTGCAGGTGCTTTGGAAGAAAAGTCTTTATGCTGGCAAAAATCAGTTAGTAGAAAGTAATTCTCATCCAGGAGGAGCTTTGCTTGAAAATTGCTGAGATATGATTCATTTCAGTGATAGATCGAGACGCTGCGGTGACTTGTTTTTGGCCTCTATTTCTGATCTCTGTCAGTTGTGGAAGGAACAACCAAAACTGAGTTGCTCTTAAAAACAGCCTGGAGGTCTAAATGATGCATGCCTGGACAGGGTTTCAAAGCATCCGCACAAAAATGGAGAGGATGTGATGAATTATTCATTAAGTACGGGCCTATGATGAGTCCAACCCGGTGACAGCTTACTGTAACACATAATGATGTTATCTTGTTAAGCAACCTCAAGAGATTTGGTCACAGCAAATGCTTAAAAACGACTTATTTTTGCATTCTGAAGTCAAAGTAATTATGATGGAGGCAAAGAAGGTGAGGTAGAGTCATGTGAAGAAGAAAGTAAGCCCTCGTTCACTTTAAGGTTTTATTTAACAGGACTTAATAAGACTTCTGGGCCCAACACTGCGTTTAATAAGGCTTTTGTGTTTTTAACATGTTTTAATGCTTCGTATCCTGTTCTATGTAATCTCAAAAAGCAATACGTGTCATTTAGACCCCATTCCCACAAGACTGCTCATCAAAGTCCTACCATTAATTAATGCTTCAATCTTAAATATCATCAATCTAGAGCTGTAGCTATCAGTTATTTTAGTAATAGCATCACACTCATTTTAACAATTCTTAACAGAGATGGATTGATCTAGGGCTGCAAAGATTTGAATAATTTGAATAGCTTTATTATAAAAAAATCACTTTTGCAACAAATTGGAATGTGAAGAAAAGTGAACTTCATAGCTGCTCCATCCACTGCCATTTGTTTCATACAGTAAATGTACAGAAGTAAGGCTGCATTAAAACATACAGAGGAACTGTTAACTTAGTCTGATACAATGTTTAAATTAGGTCACTTGCTGAAGGCTCACGGCAGTAGTTAAACCATTGCCAGAACTCAGTTCAGCGTCAGATACTGTTGACCATAATATTTTATTAAAGCGATTAGAGCATGCCGTAGGTATTACAGGTACTGTGCTGCAGTGGTTTTTATCATATTGATCTAACAGACTCCAATTTGTTCATGTAAATACAGAAT